CACCACAGTCAGCAATGGCCTGCCATTGTCCCTTACTGAGCACCTACTATGTCTAGAACTGTGCAAGTTCCTTTGCATTGATTCTATCTAATCCTCACAATTATTCCCTTTTTGCAGCCTAGGATACTGACATTCAGAAAGATGCCTTGGGAACTTGACCAAGTCAAATCTCACAGTTTGTAAACAGTTAAACTAAGATTCAAACCCAAAGCCCATCCACTTTCTACAGGAACAAGATAACCCACAGCATCATAAACACTTGGTAAAAGAAGGCTGCCACCCCTACCTCCACTCCCACACCTGCTGTCTTTTCCATAGGAGGTTCCCTAGAAAGTCCTCTGATGCTTTAGTGCACTAACTTGGCCACAGGGGCAGGAAATTTGCTGAAGGGCACACCCTGAAGGAGTGAAATGGAAGCAGAAGGAAAAATTAGCATGGGAATTAAAGAGTGGGAGAGGAAACCCCCTTTCTATACTGATACAAAAAGAAAAGTTTGGTTTTGTTTAATCTCCTTAGCACTGCCCCGTATTTCTATAACGACCCCCCAAGCAGTCTGTCAAGATACATGGCAATCTGTACCTCACAGCTCACAGGAAAATCTGGCTCATAGTCGGCTCTGATGGGGAGGCTGTTTCTCTGGCTCATCAATTCTGAGGTCAGCCCAATTGGCTCTAAGCCCTGGGACCGCCAGGATGACACATGGGAGAAATACATGCTCCTTTTCCCCTCTTGTGAGGTGCCAGCTCCCCTCAAACTGCCTGAGTCATGAAGCCTCCCATCTCTTCGAGTCTGAATCCTCACTGAAGTGGCCCACGACGAAGCAGCTTCTCTGGGGGTGTGTTACCAGCTGCCGCGTAAAAACATCTGCACCAGCATTATCAATCTCCTGCCTCCCTCATAGGCGCTTCTTTTTACACGACAACAGGCTAGCTGTGCTAAAGAATGTCAAATAAAAGCCTTGTGAGAGCTTTGCCATATGCAGGCCAAATTAAATTAAGGGGCATAATCCTCACTATTGTACTTGTCAGCATTAAAATGGAGGATTACCATCATGGGAATAAAGCGCCGTGACATAAAAGACTACTTCCATCCTGTCATTCACTGTACAGAGTTGCAGGCTCATGTAGGGAATGGGGCAGAGAAGTGCCAGGCCAACCAATGACCTCCACTTGCAACATGAGGTTTCCTTCTGGCCAGCCAAGTTAACCACACCCCACTGTGCATGGGTGGGAACACCCTTCCCAAGAAGCCAGAGGCTTTCCGTGCTGGAATTTTTTTCCACCAATCACAGGGTGAGAGTTTTATGACTATCAAAGTTTGTTCCTTAGCTGGATGTGTTTAAGGTTTGCTGCAACGACAGTTACAGAGAAGACAGAGTACAAAAAGCCTTGGGCGAGGCATTTGGAGCCTGGAACTGAGACAGGCTGGGACTTGAGACCTGTGACCTACCTGTGACCTCGGACCCTGGGCTACAGTGCTTGCGCTAGGACAAATGTCTTCTCAAGCAACAGAATACAAAGAAACTATAAGGGACTAAAAATAACTGTGCGTATGCACAGTTGGGGCAAATTGTGACCAAGATACAAAAAAACCCAAAAACCTGACTGTCACTTCTACGGTGTCTGAGCAAAAGTAGGGTAGTGTGCATGATCCCTGCACACAGCACCATCAGGCGGGTAGGGGGGCAGACCACCTAAACAACCCCTCCAGCCAGACCCCTGGACCCGCTCCTACCCTCACCCCATTTAAGGGATCAGATTACCTCCCCCTTGGCAAGCGAGCAAGGGAACCTGTTACTTGTTTTCGCTCCCTCCTGCTGCAGCACGAGTCCCAGTGCCCATAAAGCCTTGCCAGAGTTTCTCATCTGGCCTCTTATCAGTTTCTATTAAGGAGACCAAGAACTCTGGTCAATAACTGAACCTAGAGAGGCAGCAGAATGTATTGGTTAAAAGCATGGGCTCTGGAGTTAGAAGGCCCATGTTTAAATCTTGACTCTGTCACTTTACTGACTAGGTAACAATGACAAGTTTCCTGTGCTCTCTAAATGCCAGAAACTGTAAAATATGTACCTCTCCCATGGGTCATTATGAGGGTTAAAAAGAATTGTGCATGTGAAAGATTTAGCACAGTGCCCACCAAGTTGTTAATGAATATCAAATATTAGTTGTTGTTATTATTGTTGGAGACAGATCCGGATGCAAACCTCAGACCTGCATTTATTCTCTGTGACACTGGGTGACCCCCATGCTAGCTGTCTGGGTCAGGAGTAGGTAAATCTGATGCCTCTAACCCAGCACTGGTCTCTGGTCCAGCATTTGTAAGCTACCTGATTAGCCTTCCCCAGGTTCAATTTATTTATCAGGAATACCACCCAAAAGACTGGTGTGAGAATTACATGAGGTTGTGGGAAAAGACTTGGCATCTCCATAAACGTCGGGTGAATGAAAATGATAACCCCACAAGCCCCTGTCGTTCTGATTCTTGCAATATTTCTTTTCACGTCTGGGGGTCCTTACGAACTCTTCCCTCTGATTTTGCCTTCCCTTCATCTTTCCCCAGTACCTATCTGCTCCCTTCACTTTCCCTTCTGGACTCTTCTGGAACACTTTATTGGTTGCTTCCCCAAACCCTTTATTCTTTGCCCACTTTCTCCTGCAGAAGCTGAAAATGCCCGAGCTCACTTCCCCAGCCTCCCTTGCAGCTCCCCTGTGGGGCCACCTCTGTAAATTCTGGCTGATGAGATGTGAGGGGAGTGTCCTGGGGACTTCTGGGAAAGGTTTCCTGCCTGTCAAACAGAGAGAGACTCCTGAGGAGAGCTCCCTTTCTATTCACTGCTTCCCCTTCCTGCTTTGGACAATGCCATGCAAAGAAGTGATACTTAGCACACTGCTTCAGCCACCTTATGCCCATAAGTGGGGACACTGTTGACATGCTGAGATGCTCAAGTCTGCAGAGGACAACAACCCCAGCTAAAGGCAGGCTCAGGTCACTTAAGTCAGCTCAGGCCAGGCTGTGGAGCCAGCACTGCACACTGGGGGAACTCACAGGCTTCCCGTGCTTCAGGGGAGCCTTCATAACCTACCTCCTCTCAGGTAGGGTTTCCAGGCCCCAGCACCCATGTCACCAGGAGGAGGATAGACTACAGGAAGGAGTGGACCATGGCAAAGGGAGGGTCTGACTAGAATGAAGCCTGTCAGAAGGGGGAGAGATCTAAGCAAAAGGGAGTGAGGCAGCAGAAAGAGAAAGAGGTGAAAGCAGAGGGCGGGCTACCCGACAGCTGCAGGGCCTGGGGGGCAGGACACCACAGAGGAGAGGGCCAGGAAGAGAACTGTGGTCTTCCGAGATGGGAGCAAAGGAAGAAAGGCCAGCTAAAGACAAGGAGTGACTCCAAGGTGGAGGGCAGGGTAGTAGAAGTTGCTCGCAGCGACTGTCCTGACCTTCTGAGTGAAGTCAGTCAGCATCTGAGGTTGACGCGAGTCAGGCTGGGGCTGAAGCCATTTACCGAACTGGTTCAGTAATTTGTCGAAGATTAAAGGGCTGGAAAATGCTAGCATTAGGACCAGAACCCAAGTCTTCCACTTGCAAAGTTTAGTGGTCTTTCTGCTGCAACAGAAATTCTAAACTTTGTTAATTCTAATATAAGATAGCAGGCCTGTAACATTTTGCCAAGTACCTGTAAACGAGCTATTCTGACTATTTGGGAAAGTACAATCTGCCATCTGGATCTGTGGGTTTCACGCAAATTCAAGGTTAGTTGAATGTGCAGATGCAAACCCACAGATATGGAGGGCAGGTTGTACCAGGACATTTTGTATGAAGGATTTGAGTATCTCTGAGTTTTGGTATCCATGGAGGCTCCAGGACCAATATCCACAGATACCAAGAGAAGACTTTAGTCTACTTTAAAAGTAGCTCAAATAATTTGAGACCACTAGAGAAGTACTGAGAATTTGTCAAGTTTCAAAAATATTAATAAGATGTCTCAAAAAATTCAGAATTATTTTTTAAAGTTACAAATCAAGACCACCTCTTCTTCCAGGCACAAAGTTTCTAATGGCCTGTTTACTTCTCCAAATCCTGGTGTAAACTTTTAATGAGTCGCCACAGTCAATGTGGGGAGAATAAGAAAGGCAGGCTTCATTCTAGTCAGACCCTCCCTTTGCCATGGTCCACTCCTTCCTGTAGTCTGTCCTCCTCCTGGTGACATTCCAGGCTGGGGCCTGGAAACCTTTCCTGAGAGGAGGTAGGTTATGAAGGCTCTCCTGAAGGACGGGAAGCCTGTGAGTTCCCCCAGTGTCCAGTGCTGGTTCCACGGCCTGGCCTGAGCTGACTTAAGTGACCTGAGCCTGCCTTTAGCTGGGGTTGTTGTCCTCTGCAGACTTCAGCACCTCAGATGTACACTGACAACAGTGCACGATGGCCCTGGGCAAGCTCTGCTCTAACTCATTTTGAATTATAATTAACTAAAACTTGTGGGTAAACAGGAAATGATACTCCTTTTTTTGCATTAGCTTAAGCCCTCTGTTTTTTAACCTCAGGACTATTGTCATTTTAGGCTGGCCAAGTCTTTGGTGGGGGGGGGGCTGTCCTGTGCCTTGTAGAACATGTAGCAGAAACCTTGGCCTCTATCCATTAGATGCCCTTAGCACAAACCCCCCTTGCAAAAGTTGTGACAATCAGAAATGTCCCCAAGGGGAGGAGGGAGAGGAGCAAAATTACCCCTAGTTGAGAAGCACTGCTTTAACCAAATGAGGCCAAATACAGGTTTCACCATGAGGAGAACTAACAAAAGAGGGTTGTGTTCAGGTTGCCCTATAGAATGAAGACTTTTGCCGACAGAATAAGGACCCCTTACGTGGGAGAATCTGATGCGCAACATTTTTTGGCTCCACTCTTTCCAACTCACCTGGGTAACACAGCATAAGAAATACTCTGTTTCATTGTCCATTGGAATGAAGCTCTTGAGTTTAAGACTGGGAAATCTTACAGATAAAACTCACCAGTTTTTCTCAGTAATAGCAGGAGAGTAGCTTGAAGTCTCTGCATGGCGATTGTTGGATTCTGCTTGTGGACTGCTTTTATGGTCTATAGAGCCCCTCAGAACTGACAAAACAAACACACAAACAAACAAGTACTTAGAGATCTAAGGATAGATTCAGAAACAGGCAGGGTTCCATCTCAGAGACCCACCTCCCCTCTCCGCAGCACCCCTCTCCCTGTGCTCATGCTGTTCGTGTGTGGCTGTGCTGGACAGAGCCAGGAGACCAGTTCCCAGTCCCGGCTCAGCTGGGCAGGGCTGCCTACTGATGAGGACAGAAGGTCAAGAAACACTGTCACAATGTGAGTAGGATTGATGTAAATAGGGAATCATTCCAGGAGCAACTCAGTTCTACACAGTGATTGAGGACAGTTTACTGATGAGGTTCTCAAGAGTGGGATGGGTGACAAATACGATTCCTCCTTTCTGTGACCACAGCAGCCATGAGTAATTAACCACGGCCCTCTTCTGCTGGACTTTAATTTGGCTCCAAGTTCCTTTCTAGCACAAGGCTTTACATCAGTGGTTCTCAAAGTGTGGACCCCACATCGTCACAGCTTCTTGAGAACACAGCACATGAAGCATCAACATCACCTAGAAACTTGTTAGAAATGTAAATTCTTGGGCCCTGCCTCTGACCTAAGAGAATCAGAAAGCCCACGGGTGGAGACTGGCAGCCTGTGTTTTTGACAACTCTTTGAGGTACCCAGGATCCATGCTGGTGTTTGGGAGACATTTCCCCAGAGCAACAATTCTTAATCCTGGCTGTACAGAAGAACCACTCAGGATGATTTTAAATATTTCTTAGCCCAGCCCCAGAGATTCTGAAATTGACCTGGGGTCGGGTTGGCCTCGTTTTTTAAAAAGCTCCCTGAATAATTTTAAGGTGTGGCCAGGGCTGAAAACCATAGATCCAGAGTCACCATCAGTCCATCTGGGTAGGAGAGAGACTCTGCACCTCTTTGCTATCCTTATTTTAGATCATCTAGAAACAGCCAAACCAAAATACAACCAATGAAGATAATCTATAAGTCTGTCAATTGTGACATATTGTGGAAGATGAATAAAATATAAAAGGTTGATGTTATAATGATGAAACATATAACAAAGATAAGAGTATAGGAAAAAATCTGGCCATCAATTGTTTTTGCCTTGTCTATTCTGGGAAGACTATGCTTTGATCTCTATTATTGGTTTGTTTCTTTAGAGATATTTATGTCCTCTGTAGAAGAAATGTAATCCTTTGAGCTGTCAGTGGTAGCTAAGACCGTCTGTTGTTGTTGTTATTATTATTGTTATAAACACCAAATGGCTAAAGAGAAAAATTTTAATAGAACATTATTATGTTTTTATTATCACTCACACACAAACATTATGACCAAACGGTAAAACAACAATATTAAAAGAAGGGGGAGGAAGAAGCAGAAATCAAGAAAAATAGAAAGAAAAATTTCACTAGATGATTCCTTCCACTCCCCTCCCTGCCTTCTCTTGGTGGATGAACTCCTCCAGTTAGAGGACCAGGTAGGCTTCCCTGCTCCTGGGGATTCTAAAACACCGTTTGGCCCAAGCTCACTTGTAATACTGTGATAAGCAACATAAAAGCAAGAACTGGCATAAAAAGAAAAAAGAGATGCCCACTTCAGGGACGCAAGTATCTGTTTCCTTATTAAGAAGGAAAATCATTTTTAACCTTGTTCTCTGGCCCAATTCAGCGGCACCAAGAGCTACCACTCACTGATCAAAGCCCAGTGTTGCCCGTGTGGGACACTGAGATTGCTGTTGTCTGCACCTATTTTGAGATCCTTAGTTAAAAAAGGAGCAGTAGCAGTTTAACAGCAATTCAGAGAGGAAAAAGCTGTGTCCACCACCAGGAAGAGAGAAGGTGGCAACACTTCATGTGAGGCTTAGTAAATGCCCCCAGTTACTTTGGGTTTCCAATAAAAACCTATAGAATTTCTGTTTATGTAATTAAAGGGAAAACTTATCCTATGTTTCTTATTCACTTGCACTTCAGTCATCAAAGTATTGATTTTTGAGAGTTATTTGAAGTATAAAAACCAAACAGAAACTTACAGAACATTCTTATTAAAGCTCACATAAAGTCTGCTCTTCCATCCCCCAGCTTTGCCAGAAGAGCAGGGATGAGAATTTGAGTCAGACTAAAGAAAGAAACTTAAATAAGAAGGAAGTAATCATTATGTTGTACACCTGAAATAAATATAATGTAGGTCAGTTATACCTCAATTGAAAAAAAATTTTTTAATGAATAAAAAATAAGGAGGTTATCAAACCACAGAGTTCAAAGCAAAATCCAAAACTGTCAGATATTTTTAACTATGTCCTGGTGACAGCTGGAATCACCTGGCATCTCTCTGGCATGGTAATTGTTAAACAAGAGATTGGAGATATGGAGAAAAATGGAAGAGTAAATTAGGGTGACTCCTTCTAAGTGAATAGATCAAATTAAAGGAATTAGACCTGTGACATGGCTCAAAAGTCAAAACGGTGAGCCTCAATAGCACAAATGTCCACAAAATACCAGACCCGAGGTACGCGCAGGTGTGATAACAGAGGCTTCTGAAGACATGGGTCTCCTATCTTCAGGGAAGCTTCCCTGAGGGTTCCTTCTGGTTTCGTGAGATAAAGAAACCCTGGGAAGGACTTCTCTGGAGGAGTTGAATCCTTCCAAAGTCAGCTGAGCTCTAGAGGCATTCATATTTCCCAGTAAAATTGATCCAATTCTTCACTAGATCATTTTGAAACAAGATGAAAAAACATTTGACTATCAGGAGAAAGAAAAAGAAAATAACCCAGCAGGTGCTGGGAACTCAGATGCCTCTGGGGCCACTCAGATAACACAAATGCGTGCGGTGTTGGGCAGAGGGTGGGGAGTGGTGGGGTCTGGGGTGAACCAGAGAATATACATCCTATCCAAAAACATTCAGGTTCAATGTTTTGTTGTTGTTGTTGTTTTACCTGTGTCTGGGCAAACTGAGCATACCTGTGTGCAGTTTACAACAGGAAGACCTTCTATTTCTGACTTCTGCTGGGGGGAGGGGTCTAGATTGTATGTCAGTTATAGTTAGACATCCTTCTTTTGAGAATGAAGTGTCTGCCTCCATCCCCAAGTCTCCTCAAGTTCAAGAAACACCACTGCTCCTTGGGCCCCCCCTCTCCTCTTTTTTCCCTATTCCCTGACCTCCTTGCCCCACGTAAAGCTCCAGTTGTGTAATTTCTTGAAACCCAGGCTGGGCAGCAGATTCCAAAGGAGCTGGAAGCGCCCAGAGCCCCACTGCTGGGCCTGCTGAGGAGACTGTAGCTACAAACTCTGCCGAAAATCCAGGGCTACTCATCCTCACTTTTCATAAAATGCTAGCATTAGCGTTCAAGGTCATATTTTAAAACTTGTAGCTTCTGCTTCAAGCAGAAATCCAGGGATCTTCAAACTGAAAAAAAGGAAGAACTCTAATTTTTTTTTAATGTTTAAAAACCACCAATTCAGTCCCATTCTCTCATTTTACAATGATGTTAACTAATGAAAGGCTTAGACCAGATACCCAAGTTTTCATTTCCTGTCCACAGTGCCCCTTCCCCCCATGAATGTTCTCAATATGTACAAGGTCAGGGTCACTGGAAGGCCTTTCTGAGAGGCTAAACTTTCATAAGGACTTAAAGTAAATCAGGTAGAAACATGGCAGCGTCTGCCCCAAGAGGGTGGGTGAAGGGAGGCAGCTGGTAAGGAGAGCTGTGACTAGACCAGTTCCCTCAGTGGACAGCTTATCTTGGTCTACTCTCTCCCCTTCTGTGAACTCACCTTGCAGGATCCCCCACAAGGCTGCCCCTGAATTTAATCAGCTGTCATGTGTAGGAAAAAAAAAAAAGAGTGCTAGACAGAGGTCCATATCAGGTGACCATTTCCAGCTCTGGAGCCTTCTCTGGAGTATCCACAATTACAAGACACCCATTTTAAACCTCCAATGACCCCACCTTTGTGGTTGCCAGGCTCACGGCCATCCTGAACCTGGACGGTTCCTCTGGTGCCTGCTGTGACAGCGGGATGCAGGTCACGGTTCTGGTCTGAAGGGCGCCCTGTGGAATGAAACAAAAAAAGATTTTCTCAAGGTTGTGCTCCTACATCTGGATGAACTACCAAAGTGGCTGAATAGTATGACTAGGGAACTTGCTTATGGTTTGAGGCTCTGAGGTGATGAATCTCACCCATGGATTTGGTGCTTGTTTTGAAGATTTAATAGGGTATGGTTGTGAAAGGATATTATTATAGGCAACAGGAGAATTAATAACTGTCTTGGCTGGGCTCCCTACTAGCTCGGTGATGTTGGGTAATTTGGGTAACCTCCCTGTCTCACTGATTGCATTAGTCCAACAGGGAGCTGGGTGGCAATGGAGGTCATGAGTGCACAAGGCAGGGCTCCTGGTTTGACAACTGGATGGCTTTCCTACTGCCTTTCAGTTCTCCAGCCAGAGAAGCCAAAAAGAGGGATAAGGCCTCCTTCCTCCTTCTCTCCACACCTCTGCCTCCCGGCAGGCCTCTCCCTCCGTTTCATCTTGCAATCTTGTCCACTGTCACTGTGGGTCAACGCCATCATGGAAAAGGCAGGCTGCACATTGTTCTTTGTTGAGGAATGTCGCAATTGCAGCTTTTCATGGTCCAATCAGCTTACTTCATGTTGATAAACACTTAACTGCTTCTCTACCAAAACAGCTGACAACTTGGGTGGAAAAGTGCAGAAGGGAGGTTCTCATCTTCCATGCTCTGTGACCCTCAAACTCAGGATGGGTTGAAGATGTTCTAACATCTCAGACTGCCCCAAGTATCTGGAGAGGCCAGGTTCTTTCCAATTGGATCCCTTGGCCTTAGAAGAAACCATCCTGGCAGGGGCCCCCTCCTCTCCACAGAGGAAATGTTGTTCAGGCTCTGCCCTGAGGCATCAGCCCTAACTCTGTGCCGTCTCCCTTCTCCCTGACCTGGGATCTAGAGCCTGTTCTCTCTCATTCTGCACCTCCTCCTGACTTGGGCAGTTTCTAATTCTGCTGGCAATACCATATTAGAATATTTGAGATCTTTGGCCTTTCTCCTTTTTTATTTCCTCAGATGTGTGTTTTTCCTCCTGTCCCCTCCCTCCTTCTGGATGGCTCTCCTTCCTCAAGGACTGCCCTTCCACACCCAGCCTGGTGGTACCATGTCCCTTCATTCCTTTAAGGGGGCCCAGCAGACATTTCCATGTTATGTAATGGCAGCTGCCTCAGACCGCATGTACGGAGGCACAGTCCCTACCCCCACAGAGCTTATACTTTGACACAGAGAGTTAGAATAAATAGGGATGTCCACCTGGGAAGTCAGAATGTGACCTGACTTGGAAATAGGGTCTATGCAGATACAATTAGCTTAAAATGAGGTCCAACTGGATTAAAGTGGGTCTTAAATCCAATTATTAGTAACCTATAAGAAGACCATGTGAAGACACAGAGAGACAGAGAATGCATGTGACAACAGAAGCTGAGAGCGAGGTGATGGGCCTACAAGCCATGGGATGCCAACGATTGCTGGGATCCACCAGGACCTGGGAGAGGGGTGTGGGAAGGATGCTCCCTCAAAGCCTCCAGTGGAAATCAACCTGGCTGACACCTTGATCTTGGACTTTTCGAGTCCTGAACTGCGAGAGAATAAGTTTGTTGTTTTAAGCTACAAAGTTTGTGGTAATTTGTAGCCTTAGGAAACTAATATGAGGAGAAGGAGCTGACAGATATAAAGATTTAAATAAAAGAAATAGGAGAAAAAGATCAAGTGTGTGTATTCAGCTTGAACTGGCTGGCAGGATGGGGATGGGAGTGGCAGGTGGAGAAAAACTAGGAACAGGAGCTAGGGAAATAGCCATTATTTGTATTTAACAAACACAAACGTATGAATTATTATGTTCCATGAATTGTTCTAAGCCCATTACAAAAATTAACTCATTTAATTCTCATAGGAACTCTAAAAGATAGAGACCACAATCATTCCCATTTTACAGCTGAGGAAATTGAGGCACAGGGAGGTTAAATGATTTTCCCAAGAGAGTTACACACAGCTCAGATTAGCAGAGCCAGGAGACCAACCCAAGCAGTTTTGTCCTAAAGTCTGAATTCCTAAATATTACAGGGGGCAGCCCATTTATTTAAATATTTAGAAATCATTAACTCCCGCCTCTCATCTTTTCCTTTATCAATAGAAATAAAAATTCAGACTTTATTTCACTCACAGGCCTAGGCCTTTAAGGTTCCCACAGATCAGCCACTGCCGGGGGGCGCTGGCCTGGCCTGCTGTGTGATGACCCACCCAGAGGACAGACCCCAGCATCGTCTGGGTAGATTCCCTGGTTGGTGATCTAGGTAAGCTTTCCTGCCCTCACAATGGAGCTGGCAAAGTGTGCCCACTGTACCTAGCAGAGAGGGCACATACAGATGAGGCTCAAAAGCCAGCCTCCCCTTCTAACCACTGCTGGCCGATTGCATGAGAAACTGGTGTGGTTTCTAGCTGGAATGACAGCTGGTCAGCAGCCATCTTATCAGAGTTTAAAGAGGCCAACTTGTGGGAGGTCCAGCAAGCAAACGCCACCAAGAGCAACACAAAGTCGAATTCTTTTCTTAAAGGACAGAATCTCATTGACACACTTTTTCCCCTTACAGCTATACCAGAATCCCTGGCCTCCATCTCCACCACATAAAACAGAGCTAGTAATTTTAGGACCATGAGAGCATTTTCCTCTTTGATTCTCCACTACTTAATTCGTCATTATCCCAGTCAAACTTTGACAGAGTTCAAAGAAAATCTTGCCTGGTTAATTGCTCTCTGTAACGTGGGAGCTAAGGAGGGAGGTGTCCTCTCACCCCATAGCTCAGACTCCTGCCTGTCCTGGAGCATCACTGAGAAATCCCCTTAACTTCAGGCATCTAGGGACTGTTACTCTCTTCTTTCCTGACTCCCAGCCGCCTCAGGCTGCATTTACTGCTTAAAATTTATGCCTTGCCAGCTTCCAAAAAGGCAGGGGGAGCTTCATAGATCATTTGTATCTTGTTAGCTGTGTCATTTGGCCCTCGCTCAGTACTCCTTTCCAGCCTGTAGTAGGTTTTTTGGTCCTGGTTCCATCTGAGACTATCCCCTCTTGTGAAAAAGTCTATTTTTAGAGCAGTTTTAGGTTCACAGCAAAATTGAGGGGAAGGTAGATTTCCCAAACACCCTACACATACATAGCCTCCCCATTATCACCATCTCCCATCATCTGTGCATTTGTTACAACTGATGAAGCTACACTGATACATCCCAATTACCCATAATTACCCAAAGTCTGTAGTTTATATCACAGTTCACTCTTGGTGGTGTAGATTCTGAGTTTGAACAAATGTACAATGACATGAATCCATCATTATGGTACCATGTAGAGTTTTTGCACTGCCCTAAAATTCCTCTGTGCTCTGCCTGTTCATCCCTCCCAGCAGGCCCCCGCTCCCTGACAATTATTGATCTTTTTACTGTGACCATTGTTTTGCCTTTTCCAGAATGTCATACAGTTGGGATCGTACAGTATGTATCCTGTTCAGACTGGCTTCTTTCACTTAGTAATATGCAAGTAAGGTTCCTTCAAGTCTTTTGTGGCTTGATAACTCATTTCTTTTTAACACTGAAAAGAATATTCCATTCTGTGGATATGCCACAGTTTGTCCATTCACCTACAGAAGGACATCTTGGTTGCTTCCAGGTTTGGGCACTTATGAATAAAGCTGCCTTAAACACCCCGTGCAGGTTTTTGTGTGGACACAAGTTTTCAATTACTTTCAGTAAATACTAAGGAGAGCGATTACTGGATCACAGGGTAGTAAGAGAATGCTCAGTTTTATAAGAAACCACCACACTCTCTTCCGAAGTGGCTGCACCACTTTGCATCCCCACCAGCAATGAATGAGAGTTCCTACTGTTCCACATTCTCACCAGCATTTGGTTCTGTCACTGTTCCAGATTTTGGCCGTCCTAATAGGTGTGTAATGGTATCTCAATGTTTTAATTTGCATTTCCTTGATGATATATGATGTGGAGCATCAGACTGTTCCCTCTGAAAGGGAAAAGAATCCAGTATTTTTATGTTGTTTTTGTGACCATCACAAAAGCTGCCAGCAGAGGGTTTTGCATAGACAGGATGTTCAGAATATGTCTTGAGGCAAGGACAGCGGATCAGGAGTTAGGCAGTCTGAACTGAAGGGCTGTTTCTTAGCCACAGTCTGTAAAATGGGATAAAATTCCTAACCTACTTCTCAGGATTACTGCGATAATTACAGGAATAAGGTTAGTGGAAGTCCTCTGTATGAAATGCACACTACTGTGCAAAAAGTATGCTATGAAAATAAGCATTTCTGTTGGCTAATCAAGAAGGAAACAACTACTTCTAGGATCATCCTGGCTTCCTATAAAGCAAAGTTATTTATTTTCCTCTAAATTTTTCTTAAAAAGATAAAGTTCTGAACATTTATAGCAGTTTTATTCATATTCATAGGAACTGGAAACAAGAGTCATTTAGCTGGCAAATGTACAGAATTGCGGTACATCCACAGACCAGAAGTCTGCATAGCAACGAAAAAGAAGAAACTACTGATAAATGTAACAACACTGATGAACCGCGAAAGCATTATGCGAAGCGAAAGAAGTCAGACTCCCAAGTCTACATACTATGTGACTCCATTTACGCGACACTGTGGAAAATGTAAAATTATAGGGACAGGAAACCCATCAGTGGTCACCAGAAGGAGGGTGTGGGGAAGGAACGGATGACAAGGGGCACTAGAGAACTCTTTGGAAATGTTCTTTTTCTTGACTGTGGAAGGGGTTACTTGACTCTATACGTTCAATTCAGTTTTATCAAACTGAGTTTTATTGTATGTAAATTGTACCTCAACAAATCTGACTTTTAAAAAGTTATCAGAATTTTGAAAAATAAAAGAACAAGGCCTCCTCCTCAAGCTGGATTGTTCCTGGAAAGCAGGATCCAATGGCTTCTAACCCACTAGGAAGAGAGTCTGGTGGGGAGAGCCTGGCTGTT